CAAATTGATTTTGAGAAACATTAGTATCACGCCGCAACCTTTGCTTCATAACTTGCTCCCATAGTTTTAAAGTATGACAAATAAACTTAATTCCTCTATAATTCGCACAATCTTGTGCATCGCCTTTATTCTTAAAAATATGAATTAACACACTCATTCTCCACTCATCTGACATCTTTTTAGTCTTTAAAACAGTATTAAAAAGTTTAGTAAGCCAAGAAATTCCTTCATCTCCTAAGCATTTCCACACCTCTTTTAGAATATCATCAGGTCCAACAACTTTTCCAAACTTCATTTTCTTTGAAGTCTCTCTAACTTCAGTTTTACTAATATGCTGATAAAAACATAAATCTTTTTTTTTTTTTCATTTAGGATGCTATGGTCACTACAGTCAATTGTATTTTCACATTCTATAACAATCCAAAAAAAAATCAAATAAAAATGCATCCATACCTTCTCAAATACTGTCGAATCCCTACCAAAATCCTGCATCATATCCACTGTCTACAAAATCGGCGTCGAATGAAGACGCCCATCCCATACGTGCGCTGATTATTGCTAATAAAATGAAGTTGAGGCGAAGTCTTACGCTCTTATTCTCCTCACACGCTCGATCACCGGAAAAATTCCACTATCAAACAATTGCAAGCTCCCATCACTGCTTCCAACTTCCTCAAGCCTCAACCCTCTACCTCTTTCCTCAGCCGAATCCCTCAGATCTCCTAGCCGTAAGCCCTCTGTCTCTTTCAAATAAAAACCCATGACTAGTCCTAATCGATATCAATCCCAGTCCATCACTCTCCAGGTAGCCGACCTCTTCAAGCCATTTCTCTCCCACCGACTTGTATTCTTGTTCTCTACCCTAGTCTTGACCAAGCCTTTTAACGAACATAAGCTAAACTCTTCAAAATCGACATTGCTGACTTGCCTGTGTCGAGATCCCTCCCTCTCTTTTGTCAGACCTGCATACGCCCAATCCGACTTCACCTAATGTCGCAAGACCTCCGAACTAAGCCTCCTGCTCTGTCTTCGATCCCCTCAACCCAGCGACCAAAACCCCCATTATAGCTCGACATCTGTTAGCACGACCTCTTCCTCACGCCTCCAAACCAGTTTAAATCTCCCAGCACCATTCCTCCATGCCTCTGATCCAAAGCTTCAATCGAGACCCCACCCCGCCTCTTCCTCTTTACCCGAGCTAAAGCCGTAAGCCAAACCATCCAAACTCCCTAAGCTCATCAGCCCCACAAGCATCCTGACCCCATTTCCTTTGCTTACGGTGGAGCCTCGTCCAACCTGTTGATTCCTTCGATCCAGAGTGAGTGAGAGAGAGATAGAGGGCTTTCTCTTACCTTGCACTTCCAGTCATTCGAATCCACCAAAACAGCAAGTCGACGCCTCCATGGTCCCTGCCTGATTCATCTAGCTGACCTTTAGGTATATATTTTGTTTTTTCATTAGTAATTTTATTTAATTATTGTTATTATAAGTATTAATATTATTTTTATTATTAATATACTTACGATATATATATATTAGAGAAAAAAATTATGAAAAAGAAATGAAAGAAAAGGAAAAAAAAAAGATCAAAGGAAAAATAGAAATGTGTGTATTTATGCCTTTTTGCAAATTTCCAATCATAGTCATCGCCGCCATCACCTCGTCGCGCAGGTATAACACTCCCAACTCAAAATTCCTATTTTCGGCGTTTGTGGCGCATTGGAAAATCGTCTATATACGCTTTTATCTATTGTAGTGGAAAGAGAATTCGATGGGATGTCTACGGCGAGGCGGGTAGGCCTTGTATGCACATTTCTCTAGCACGGCGTGGATGAGTATAAGTACCCATAAACGCTTTAGCGCTTACGGGGAAATAACTGCGCATTTCAAACAAGTATTCGAAGACCCATACACGCCTTTCTTTGGCGTAGTGGGGTTGAAGATTTACAGTCGTGGTGTCATCAGACACATCGTACACGTTTTTCTTTAGAATGGTGGGAGGCCCAGACACTTGGATTTCTCCTAAATTGAGGAGGCATCAAGAGGTTGCCGAAATTTGAACTGAACAGGGGACCTGGAATTGAACAAATGACAATGAGCTAAACTTATACTTAAATAAACATAAATAGTTGACGGTGAATATGGCTTGAACTTAAACGAACAACGAGGGACTTGAACTTGGATATGACGCAGGGAATCGGAGTTTAGAACTCTAAAATGCATGATGAATTGAAAAGTATAAATGCTAAATAGTAGTTTAATGCACTCAAATGAACATGAATGAACGAATGAAGGACTTGTTATACAACTTGTTTGCAAGCATTTTGATCAATGAAAACCAAAGGGAGGTTAACAATATAAGTGAAGATGATTATACAGATTGTCCAACAAATGAATAACATGAAACTCATAGCGCTCATGTCAATCAATCCATGAGCAAGGAAAATGAACCTATAATACAATCGTTTGTCCTGTAAGTGAAAATCAAAACTCGCAACAGCATCAACTACCATTCCACAAACATTTGCAAGAAGATTATGGCAGAAGCAATGCCATGTTCAAAAGGAGACATGCGACAAATGAGATATCAAATTCAAGTTGATGTGTGGCCCTCCCACAGTCAATGCAAGTCAGCATGCAAGCTATCATATAGATACCTTGCAAGTGAAAGAGATCGATGTACAATGAACATAATAATGAGATGAGGAAATTATGGTGCAAGCAACACATCGTCTACAACCTAAGAAAACAAGTCGTGATAAGTGTAGATACTTGCAAACGATGATAGAAGATCGGGAGCACACACAATAACATCACCCACAACCATTATGCATCCAATGTGTTGCCCACAAGCAAACACATCAAACAACAAAGGAGCTCTAATGATGAGCTACTCATTAGTGGTAGTGGGTAACATGCAGCAATACACCTGTGAGTAAGTGCATGGTAGAAGACCCGCCATACTTAACGTGTCGTCCACAAGAACGATATAAGGGAATTGCAGTAGACAGCAACATCTACTAGCGATGGCAGGAGACTAGTTAGTGCATGACAATTTACCTGTATGATGTAATAAATACGCATAATGTGATGCCACACCATCAGATCTGCAACATTCGTACAAGCAGACAGAAGACATTTACAAGCTTTCAAATAAAGCATCACACACATTCAAATGATAATTTCCCATACAACTGACTGACGTCAAATATTCCAAAAATATCCCCACACATACTCCCTAACATGCATAGAAATAAACACAAGTGAATGCATGCGCAATCGTATACCCACATGGGACCTTACAAGCGTATCATGCGCACACGTGATGTATAGGGAGGCTATGTGGGTCAGATAATAAATCCAATTTCTATCTCAATCCTTCTATACAGGTAGATAGGAGTCGACACGACTCAAATTATCAATAAATATACGGTTGCGATATCGACCAGGATATTTTTTTTATAAGTTCATTGTAGGCCTTCAAGGTCTATAACAAGAGAAATTTATTAATAAAAGCATACAACCCATAAAAAACTTGATTCTCTATTGACAAGTAGATAGAGTCGATAGAGTTCAAACCCATAAAGTGAAATTCCCCATAAATACCTTGATGATGGCCTTGTTGAATCTAAATCTCAATAGGAGGGGTCCTTAAACACTTAAAATGCTTTACAAATACCCATGAAGATTCAAAACAACAAAAATACCAAAAGCTCAATAATATTTAAAATTGAAATCAACCTTAAAATGCTTAAAGCAAAACCCATCCTTCGCAAAAGTTTTCCGAGTGAATAATTCAAAAACTACTTTAGCTCACAAAGAGCTAATGTTTGGTCGAGATTACACTAGGATTCATTCTCAAACAGTCTCTTACCAGCAAGGACGTGGCACATGTCCTCTAACTAGCATTTTTCTTGCCTAATGGCACCGCATGTAAATAGTTATAACTGGAGCCCTTTGAACCAAGTGGTTTGTTGCTAAATGACACAACTAAATTATGGTCATGACCAGAGCCCGTATGCTCCTCAATGACATCAAATCCTTGTGATATGAATCAATAGACCAAAATTGATAAGGCATAAAGCCCTTTGTTAGCAAAGGTGGATTAAAATTTTTCCCCATATACAAACATCCACCTTAGGTCAACCAATAATTGCCGACAAGGTTCCTTTATGTCAGGTTGGGTCGACTACCTCCCCTGACTATGTAGACCTGAAACCACGATGGCTTGGGACAACGAAACCATGAGATCTTGATCGGGCTCAGTACCACTCCCCCACCATCCTCTTTAAGTGTAAGATGGTGAAATTTCTAATTTTAAATATTAAATCTCTAAATCTTCAACCCATGCTGCTACTATATGCCAGATACTACTTATCTTTACGTATCTGATTGATGACTAGCCTTAATTAAAAGTTCTCTCTCGTTATCGGGAGGGGTAATTAACTATAGGGTCTTTTGCCTATAGGAAACCATAACTCAGATCATAAAGTCCTCTCAAAATGAGGGCAAAATCACTGGGTAGTGTCTTATCTGCAAACCTAATCTCCCAAAATTTACCCTGGAACTTAATCCGTTAAAACTCTATTGAAGGCGAGGGAGGCTGGGGCGTGAATGTTCGGAGCCCACATATGCCAAGGTGCAAAATCCGCTATTTATTAGAAGAACGACACACGAAAATGATGTCATGATGACTTCATCATTATGAAGTCAATCAGGTTTCTAGGACTACAGTAAAATAGGGAAGTAAATTCGCATTTATTTTATTTGTTCTCATTAGTTGGTTATTGTTAATATCATTCACTTGCCTTTCTCGTAGCCTATCTTTTAAAGGGCCGAGTGAATTAGTGAATTAAATGAATATCTTTAATTACTTTCACATGTATCCTCACTGTTGACCTCTTCTGTAGTATGCAAAGAACAAGACAAAAAAAGCCTTAAAATGATTACCCGTCTAAGGCCTTACCCGTATCTGCCGAAATTGCGCCCCCAGTTTCCAAATGGTGCCGAAGTCAGAAGCCCATAACCGCATGCGGAGATCTCCTCAAGCGTGCTCTTCGGCATCGTTAAAAGCAAGCGAGACGAAACCTTAACATTTTTCTTCGCTTCAGCCTTCGACTTGCTCTCTACCCATACCCGCATGCTGAGATCTCCTCAAGCGTGCTCTTCGACTTCGTTAAAAGCAAGCGAGACGAAACCTTCTCATTTTTCTTCGCTTTAGCCTTCGACCTGCTCTCTACCTCTTATTCCCACTACAATCGAATTCTCCCTGCAGCAGAACACTGCCAACCCTCCAACCCAGTCGAGCTCCCGAACGAAGCCGCCTTTACCTTCTCTGGCCAAATCTCGATCCTAGCAAGACCTCCTGTCTCCTGAGCCTCTTGATTGTGTCGGTACACCTCCGCCTTCTCCAATCCTTCGGCCAATAGAGAGAGAGAGAGAGAGAGAGAGAGAGAGAGAGAGAGAGAGAGAGCGCATTCCACTTACTCGTTCAAAGCCTAGCCCGTCCGATCTTCTTCCTATAGGGATCGGAAGACAATGTTTTGATTGGGAGCAATAACGAGAGCTCAGTCGCAGTGAAGGTAACTTTCTCCCTTCCGCGTGTTTCTTCGGGTACATCCCGCAAATCCGTTGAGCTACAGGATTTACTAAAGAGGGAGAGCTTTAACTTGCGTGGGATCTAATAATTTCTAATCCCGCCCTAAACTTGTCTAATCTTTCATTAATCATAATTAATCCTATTTGATTAATTATGATCATTTATAATTAAGTGTTATTAATTACAAATAATTATAATTAATTAGTAATTATGATTAACTTAATTATTTTTAATAATTTCTCATCTTAATTATTAATTATTTATAATTATTCATAATAAATTGTTATTAATTATAAATAATTATGATTAATTTTAATTAATTATATTTAATTACTTTTTATCTTAATAAATAATTATTTATGATTATTCTTAATTAATTATAAATAATTATAATTAATTACTAATTGATATATTAGTTGTTTTTGGTTGCTCAGTCCTTGTTTTTTTTTTTTTTCAGAAAAAAGAAAATATGTTAAGTTTTACTCTTAGCTTTCTATTTTTCTAGGTAAAAAACTTTTCTTTTTGACTCATTCTACTGAGTTGACACCCAGATTGATTGAATATTTTTCATCATTGTTCTTAGTTGCTTCGTGGACTGAAATACCTTCATTCAGCAAATATACTGCATAGAGACCTGAAGCCTGGAAACCTATTGATCAATGCAAATTGTGACCTTAAGATTTGTGACTTTGGTCTGGCTCGAACAAGCAATGGGCAAGGACAGTTCATGACTGAGTATGTTGTCACTCGTTGGTATCGAGCCCCTGAGCTTCTTCTTTGCTGTGATAATTATGGAACATCAATAGATGTGTGGTCCGTGGGCTGCATCTTTGCTGAGTTACTTGGACGCAAACCTGTTTTCCCTGGATCAGAATGCCTGAACCAGCTCAAGCTCATTGTCAATGTGTTGGGCACCATGAATGATTCTGATCTTTCTTTTATTGATAATTCTAAGGCTCGGAAGTATATCAAGTCACTTCCATACTCACCGGGCATATCTTTCAGTTCTCTTTATCCCCATGCAGATCCCTTAGCCATTGATCTACTTCAGAAGATGCTTGTTTTTGATCCCTCTAAGAGGATCAGTGTTATTGAGGCACTTCAGCATCCTTACATGTCACCTCTTTATGATCCAAGTACCAATCCTCCAGCTGATGTCCCCGTCGACATTGAGGTTGATGAAGACTTGGGAGAAAATATGATTAGGGAAATGATGTGGAATGAGATGCATTTTTACCATGCAGATGATTCTTCCTTAAATGTGCGAGATATTATGGAGTGAGATGTTTTAGTTCTTTCATTTGGAAAAAAGATGTTTAACTTCCATTCAGAAGTTTCTTGACTCATTGTGTGAAACAATAAGGTGGAAGGTTTTTATGTGGTGTGTATTGTCCAGTTGCGTTACTACTTGCTAGTATCGGTTGCGGTTGCACTCGACTGTTTATTTCATGTAAATATGCGTTGTATTTTTGTCATTAAGAAAGCCACTTTTTTTGAAAATTTTATTCTGGTGTGTTGCGCGTGGATTTAAGTTGTTTTTTGCAGCCATCCTTATGAAATTTTTGTTTAGTTATATTTTTTGTATGATCTTGCAATGGCTAGAATCAAATTCTCTACCTACTGTCAACTTTCAATTTTTCAAAGTGTAATGAAATGAGCCATTCGTAGTTTCTTGTTAGTATTTGAAATATTTCTCGAACCAACTTTATGGTTATGGAACAAGAATTTTATGAATTTTGATAGAAAATAAATGCAGTTAAATACACAGGTAGAAGGATTTCTGGTACTATTTGCTACAGCATGTACCTTTCAGTTGAATTTAGTTATATCCTAAAGTTTCTGCAAGAGATATTGGTCTCGGCTTCAGGGGGTGAAAACACAAGAGGTATTCAATCAAGAGCCCTGAATATAGAACTTATATGTTGATTTTGATGAGCACAAATGCTGTGGAGTCAAAAGCGTGATAGTGAGAGAAGAAGAGCCACATCTTTGGTAGAAATATTGACAACGTATGTAATTTGTCATTAGGAACCAAGCACAACTTTCACAGCATGGGTCTCAATATATAAGTTTTCCTATGTTTGAAGACTGGCAAATATATTGTTCTTCATGGACCTTTACCTAAGAGCTCATAAACATCATAAATCAAATGAAGGAAGATCACAGCTGAAATTCTGTCTTTAGTGCCACTTGTTAGGGATTATGTATCAAGGAGTTCAATATTAATCAATAGATAGTCATGCCCAATTTTGATTCCTCTTGATCCATACATCTAGTAAGTGATAACATAACTAATGATTTGTTGGAATCGAGTATTCATTTGATTTGTGGCTTTTATTAGACTAAAATTGCAGGTAATCCTAATTATTGTGAGTTCTTTCATGTTAGCCTATTCTTTGGCACTCATCTTTATAGCCGTCTCATGCTTATTCTATACGAATAAAGCCTTTGATGGTCCATTGGTCCTGCTAATATCTTTATGATTCCATCCTTTGTTACATGTATTGCTACAATAGCTATTTAGTCATGAGATATGTGAATTGTCATGTGCCCCTTAGAAAGCTTTCAAAAGTGTTAGCAAATGATAGATATTTCTGTCTTAGTGCAAGCTATGATAACTTTTTAAGATATGAACTAGAGATTATTATTATTTTTTTTTAATGATAGGAAGATTTCTTTTTTTCCTTTTTAGTTAAAGCTGCATTTTGTTGTTCACAATCAACCCTTTTTAGCTATCATCATCTCTTGATCTTGCAGTTTACTTTTCAAGATTTTGAAGTTTACGTTATGTTCTTATATCAACTGAATGAACCCGAGTATCATTTAGAAATACATAAATAGTGCTTTTATGTACATTCTAGCAAGATAAAATTATTCACTCATCTCTCGTTTATAGAAAACATGCAATCCATCATGTTATCCTTCATATTTCACCATCGTCAATATCTTATCCAACCTATAATCTGTTTTTATAATCCTCACTTTTTAATTTATTATAGTTGAATGTTGTAAGAGATGTTAATCCTATTGTTCTCTATGTGCATCAATATTACCTTTGGTCTAATCCCTTCTACTTGACCAATCCAATTCTTCGAGATTATATTTATCTACTATTCTAATTGCTGCATCTTCTATGTTTTTTGCATGTGGTCAAATCACCTAATTTTAATTGTGTTGTCTTCAATTGGTCACATAAAACGGCGGCCTTGTGATGACCCGGTTAGGAGAGTAGAGGTATTAGATTTGACTTATGTTAAGAAAGGTAGGGGTAGACCTAAAAAGACTTGGTTAGAAAATATTAGGAATGACCTTTCTTTATTAGATTTAAACGAGAACTTATTAGGAATGACCTTTCTTTATTAGATTTAAACGAGAACTTATTAGGAATGACCTTTCTTTATTAGGTTTAAATGAGAATTTGACTTTTAATAGAACACAATGGAGAAAAAGGATTCATGTAGCCGACCCCACATAGTGGGATAAAGGCTTGATATTGTTGTTGTTGTTGTAATTAATTATTATTAATTATAGTTAATTATAATTAATTATTTTAATTATAATTAATTATTTTAACTAATGATTAATTACTATTAGTTATAATTAATTTTTATCGATTATAAAGAGAAATGTTCCTCGATCTATATGCCAACACTGCCGACTCCTCCTAGCCGAAGAAAAGCAAAGCGGGCAGAGGCCGGGGCCAAATTTTTGGAGCTTACACTCAGAATTAGTGACTGAGTTATGACAAGGATATTCTCTCTCCTAGCAATTGCCCAAGAGGGGTCATCCAGAGCCTCTAGAAGGATTTTCTTAAGGAGGTGGCACATGTTACTCGCATCTGCTCAAGAAAATCGCCCTAAGATGGGCGACCAGAAGGAACCTAGCTAGAAAAGCAGATCATCACTCATCTCAGCTAAGCTCTTCTCCTTAGAGCCTGACAAGCTTGCTGAACTCATTTACAGGAAAGCACCTTACTTGGAGACCCCTCATTCATTCATCTACAACTCATGCCAAGTTGAGGAACATATCATCAGTTTTTACAGTTCAGTTTGCCTTCATCAGCAGGGCAACAATGAATCTCTTATGCCACTCACTGACATAACAAGACAACTATCTGGCTCCATGTCCACTCCCTCACAAGACACCCTACACCTACTTGACCCCTCTTCAGCTCACCCAATGATTGAAAACTCATTAGATCGTTGACTTCACCCTCCCCCGGGGAGAGCGTGAGATCAAAAGGCGCCACATTGACCCTAGATTAGCGTGTAGCGTTTTATGGGCATTCATTCGTAGTCACATTTTCATCTTTTCTATGTAGTATTTCTTTTCCTACAACCCTCAAAATCCTGTAAATATAAGTGATGATAAATAGTTAAGAATTCAGACTTTGACTTTTTGGAGGCCTGCAATTTTTTTTTGGGCCTTGAGTTTATTCTTATACTTTTGATTGAGATAGTGAAGATCTACTGCCCTCTATTCTCTATCCTCCACTCTGCCCCTCTATTCTCTATTCTCTGCTCTTCTCCATTCTCCATTCTCGCCAACAAGTTCTCAAACTCACCAAGCGATCTGCTAGTAGGGTTTAGTATCATCTGCTGGACAAATTTGAACGCAACAATGCATATGCAATAGTTATATAATTAATCAAATTTAAACCACATCAGATAATAGTTTTTTAATAAATTTAATGGCACGTTCAATAATTGTCTGTTTCAATTATTTGAAAGAAAAAAAAAAAGCAAAGAAAGAAATAAGATAAATAATGACTAATATAAGAATACATAAAGAATCAAAGGATATAATCATGAGATTGAGTGACTATCTAGGGGTCAGTAGATAGATGTAGCCTGACCTGTGATAGAATGCGAAGATGAGAAATCGAGATATATTTTTTATATGAGTTTTATGAGCGAGAAGTGAAATAATATAAGAATAAATAAAAAATTAATGATATAATCATGAGATTGAGTAACTATGTAGAGACCACTAGATAGATGTAGCGTGAACTGTGATAGAATATGAAGATAAGAAATCAAGATATATTTTTGATATGAGATTTATGAGCGAGAAGTGAAATAATATAAATAATGAACTGATACAAGAATACATAAAAAATCAAGGATATAATCTTGAGTTTGAGTGACTATCTAAAGGCTAGTAGATAGATGTGCGTGAATTCACTGAATTGTGATAGAATGTGAAGATGAGAAATTGAAAGGAGTTTGAAGAAAACCAGTAAGAAACAGCTAGGTTTAGCTGGAGAGACTGCAGAATCATTGATCAACAGCTTAATGATTATAAGAAACAATGCGAAGCAAATGATCATGCTCAATTAATGGTCGATGCTAAATTGAAATTGAATCAAAATTTCATCATGAGCAAGTGCCGATTGCATGGGTGCTACGACACAACAAGACAGGGTGTGACACACATGCTTTATTGCAATCTTGCGCTTTGCAGGAAAGTGATGTGCAAAGCCCGCGCATAATATCGCTCTGCTCCTAAAACAAACCTTGAAGCGCTTTTAACAACAATGATTATACCTTTGACATTGGTTGCAATAGTAATACTTGTGATATATAGTTCTAAGTATAATTGTAGTTATAAACCTGTGATATTTGGTTACAATTATAATTGTTTAGTTGATAAATCTAAGAAAAACGGTCTTTCTTTTCCTTTTAAGATATATGGAAAGGGTATGCACCAAGCACGGGGGAAAAATTATTTGAATGTTTTAATTCAGTGGCTTGTGTTCTTCCCTTGGACTTCATTTCACATGTATTTTATAGATTTGGGAGACCAAGTTCATAGTATTTTTATTCCATTTTATATGATTATCGTGAATCATGTTTATCTTTGATCAATAAATTACAGGCATATGGCTGGGCATTTATCAAGAACCGCCACAACACGGTGGAGCAGTTTTATGTTTATTGGATTTGCCCCTTCATTGGCGCCATTTCAGCTGCGTGGTTTTTCAGAATCTTGTTCCCGCTGCCTTCTCCAAAGACCACGAAGGTCAAAAAGGCTTGAGCTCTTAGGCAAACATTATTAAAACGCTGGAATTCCTAAATATTCCAATAAACAGTTACGAAGTGTTATTTAAGTTTCATTTGGGACAGTTTTTTTATTGCTCTTAAAATAGCTTTTTAATACAAAAAATATTAAAAAGTTAATTTAAAAAGCATAAAAAAACTGTCCCAAATGAAGCATGTGTCTGTTTGTGTACTCGTATTTGGACTTTATTTGGCAGTATGCTACGTGGTTATCTATTAATTGTTCAAATTCTTCTAAAAACAACCGTGCGCTGTGTATTTTGACGGAGCATTTGCTTTACTGTGGCAATTATTCAGGCTTACAAATAAATTAAAATATGTGTATAAAGTGGTTTCTCATTAGTTGTAAATCGATTTTGTAGAAGAGGCAATTGAATATTTAGTAAAAGATCACATGCAGAATTCAAGTGGTATATGCTCTTTAGAACTGTGAAGTATGTCACTCGAGCTATTGTTTGGGAATTATGATATGCAAATTGCCCATTATATATAGCGTACCAATCAATGTATACAATCAGCATCGTATGATCAAGATAAACTTTCAGTTATTTTTTTAACTACATTATCAGATGGTACTGGTTGTTTTACACTAAGCGAATCATGAGCAGCCAAAAAATAGCTCTGGGCATGATTATGAAGACGATGCTCATGCTGGGATAATACCTAGCACCTGCAACATAGATATAATTTGTAACTCTGCAAGAACCACTTTTTGACTTGAAAGTGATGTGAAAATGAAATTTGCATACCTGCAGACGATTGGTGGGTACTTGTCTGGCTGAGTGGGACACGCTTTCTACCCGTTATTTTAACATTTCATGGTTTCCTGTATAAGGATTGGGACCTTATCTTCTCCTAACCATGTTTATTTTGTTGGTGATAATGGTATAGGTTTTTGGGGTTTGAGGTCTGCCTTGAGTTACATGTTGGATCTAAGTATTTGTGCATGGGTACTTTGACTCTAGTGACAAGTCTAGTTAGGCAGATAGAGCAGGGGAAGAAAAACGCTGAGTGCGAAAAGAGGAGGGTATTGGAATTCTCTCATTTCACAGAATAATGAAATTAGTAATAATATCCCAAATTGTCTTTAAACCCTTATTTATAAGATGAGAAAAGCCATAAGAGATGTTACACCTTGATAAATACTAAACAATTTACGATTTAACTACACTGAGATAAATAATAAATAATACTTGATTTAATTATTATAGATATTTAGACATGGCTTTGTGGCTATGCATGAATAACCATCTCTAATGTGGCTTTGAATGTCTTGACAAGCACTTGTGGTGGGATCTCTTAATAAGTGCTTCTAGGGCAAATGACATGGGTCACTAGCAAGTGCTCTGGGCAACTTTCACGAGTGAGTTCTTCTGAATTGGAACCTAGCATGACTAATAGGACTATTACTATGGGGTTGGTAGGTGTGCATATTCTATAGCTTTTTTATAAGGGTTCCTTTGAGAGATGAGTTGCCCCAACAGGGGTGAGCTTTCCTTTCAATTGAGTTCTTATGAGGTAAGTACCTCATGTCAAGACCAATTGAGAGGATATCCTCAGTAAAATATATCTAGGGTGTGTGCTTTCTTGGACGTGCTCCCTTGGGACGAGCTCTACTTAGGGCAGTGCCTATTCTTTCTGAGTATTGTTGGGTGAGTCCCCTCTAAGTAGAACACATCTTGGATGAGTGCACCTCTTGATAGAGTTCCTTTAATGCCAGCTTGGTTGATCCCTACAAGCTGCATGTACCAGCATAATGAGGTGTATATTTATTTCCTCAATTCTCTTGCTCTAATGGAGAGTGACTTGCAAAAGAAGAAGAGAATTACACAGAAAAATATTGATTATGTCCACTAATCTATTAAAAGGGAAGTAAATAAGAAAATTTTTTCATGTTTTAATTCCTATTTAGGGAAGAGTACTTGATCTAAAATTCGTATAATGATATTTATTCAAACTTTCTACTATCATTGTCTGTACATAGAGTTGAGGGATGTTGTTTGAATCACACTCTATAATTCTTTTTCTTTCTTGTCTTGCTACTTCATTTCACAAAACGATTGACCAAGTCTACATCTTTGAAGTTTGGCGACACTAAAAATCATAAATTACAGATAACCCATATACAAAATCATAAGGTAGTAGAGGAGGAGGAGTCGAAGTCGGACCAGACAGTTGAGGCAAAGAGGAAAGTAGTTTTTTGCTAGTCGAGTAATGCAAAAGCAGCTTGCTTCTTCAACTCTTAGTTTTGTCCTTAATTGATAGGTGCGTCTAGCACATCTCAAAAGTTGAGGAAGTTGGCATGTTTCCTATGGTAGTTGGGGCAAAGTTAAAAGTCATCGAGTCAACACCAAAGGTTGTTGACTCAACGCCAAAGGTAGTAGTGTCTTGGAAGCTCCATGATAGCTACCTATAATGAGCAAGATGTTTCCCCAACTAAGATTATCATACTTATGAAACTATTTAAAAATATTTGGTCAATACAAAATGCATGACTCTAATAGGGCGAGTGGAGGATGTGATATATTGGGAAGGGATAGTTCCATTTGAAGCTCCACCCAATAGGAGGAATATTGAGCCCTCCACAACCAAGTTTATTGCATTGTATATATATATATATAATAATAATAATAATAATAATAATAATAATACTTCACCTAAAATTTCCTTAACTCTTCTATTTCATTTACTTTTATTATTTAAGTGTCTAGCAAGCATTGAGTGGTCTAAGCGCTTAGGTCTCAGTGCCATCTGCACTAAAGGCTATATTGCGGTAAGCATGGCCTTTGAAGGAGCTCACCCTTTTCAAGGCTAAGTTCAAGAAAATGAAGTAGAGGATACTGGGTTTGGAGGCGACAGGCTCTTTTGTAACTCTAGGTGAGGGCATTCACTTGTTGTGCAAAGAGGTGTTTGATGTGAGGCCGAAAGTGGTGTCAATTCTATCCATATTTTTGAAGATTTTGATTTTGATTTTTTGTTGGATTTTTTTTGAACTGATTTTATTAGTTTAATCAAAATACAATTTTAATATTTGATAAAAGCATATTGTTATTGCAAGCATTAATAATTAAAATAGGTAAGTGATTGGGTAATAGCTGATCACTATTACTTTTATGATAATGTGTGTGTGTGAAATAAGTATGATTGGTTGACCCGTTGGTTTAAAATTAATATACCTGTACAAGATATTGGGTCAACAATTTTTCCTTTAAATATAATGGTTTGATGTTATCCTCTAGTGATTCACTTAATACAATGATATAATAATTGGGAGTTAATAAGAAGTTATTATTGTGTCGAAGGATGAGGAGTGACAACTCTATTTATTGAGCTAGTAATTACTGACTATTAATTTCTAAATACTAGAAAGATTTTGTGATAACCATAACTCCATATTGAATAAGATTACTTAAATACATGTTTCTGATTCATTGTTACTATTCGTCTAAAAGTTACTACACTGGTTTACTTTCGTATTATTTTAATATTATATTGATTACTATTATACTGTCATTATACTGTTTACTGATACTGCTACCAATTTTACAAACATTGATATTATTACTTCTACTAATTCATCCCCACTATTATTACTAGTGATTTATTTATCTATTGATAATTAGCACATTTGTTGAAGAAATTAGGAAGAGAAACAAGTTTCCAAGGAGAAGAAATTAGGAATGCCAAAACCCCATTTATTTAAAACTGACATTACCTCTTTCACTTTATTGCACCCAAAAATGACATGTTCAATGTTTTCCACTTCTTCACAACCTCTAGGACATTTATCATATCCTTGTAACCTTCTATAGCATAAAAAATGATAAGTTGGTATTGCATTCTTGAGAAGTCTCCACCAGAATAACTTGACTCTTTGGTTCAACTTTATTTTCTTGAATATATTCTAGGTTTTCTCCACTATTTTTTCAGAAACAGTGGTTTCAACTGCAAGAGCTGTAATAGATTTGCCTGAAAGTTTATGCATAAGCTCAACTTTGTCTTCACCATTTCTAATCTCAATGGAAAAGATAAGATCAATAAGATCATCCCCAAAGAACTTTTTCAGCTTCACCGTGTTCCAATTACCGTCATTTAAGAAATTTTCAACCATGATGCAGCTTCCTTTCGTGATGTTGACAAAAGTTGGCCAGTTGATAAAGCTTTTGTCTAAAACCCAAACATCTTCAAATGCATTGATATTCTTTCCATTCCCCACAGTCCATCTAATAATTGGCTTCAAGAATTTGTTTCCATTGCATATCAATCTCTAAGTAACAGATCCGTTTCTGCTGGTTGGCTGTCCTTCCATGAATCTTCCATACTTCGGGAACAAAAGCTTGTGCAAAAGAGATTATTCATTTTGAATATATCTCCAAGCTAATTTAGCCCTCAAAGTCCCTGCATGCTTATAGCAAGAATTGATGCCAAGTCCACCACAATCTCTCGGTCTGCACATAAGATTCCAACTAACATAATGCAGGCCTGCATTGCCATCACGCTTCCTCCATATGAATTCCTTGCAAATTTTATCAATTTCGTATAGAACTTTCTTAGGAACCATAGAATTGGCAGAGTGAAAAGTTGGGTATGTCAGTAATACTGATTTTACCAAGGTTATTCTCCCAGCTAAAGAGAATAGCTTACCACCCCAAACTCTAAGCATACTCATAGTTTTATCTAATAGAAATTGAAAGTCAGCTTTATGAAGCCTTCTTAGCACCACCTTGACTCCCAAATAACAGAATTCTTTAATCTCTCTCAAATTCATGATTCTACAAATCTTCTTTCTCCTTCTATTCTTCACTGAGAGTCCAAAGAGGACTCCAGATTTTTTCACATTCAGCTTTTGGCCTGTCCAACCGCAGAAGTCCACAAGAATCCCTTTGATAACTTTGATCGATTTGATCTGAGCATTAGAGAATATAATAATGTCGTCGGCATACAGTAAATGGGAAATCTTAGGCCCATTATTAGAAACTTCAACTCCTATAGAACTCCCTCTAGAACTGAAAACATTAGTAAGAAGTTGAGCACACATAACAAATAAAAAAGGGGATAGAGGGCATCCTTGCCGGAATCCACTTTTGGCTTCTATCCACTTAGAATAAGAACCATTAATGAGAAGAGAGATCTTAAATCCCGTGAAACATTCAACTATCAAATTAGAAAACATGATAGGAAATTTGAAGTATTCTAAAACTTTTACCAAAGTTTGCCATCCCATGTAGTCATAAGCTTGCTCCATATCTATTTTGAACGCAACCATTCCCTTGGAAGACTTGGAATGTTTAAATCTATGAAAAACTTCCCGTGCTACTATAATGTGATCAGAGAGAGATCTTCCTTTCAAAAAAGCTCCTTGTTCCAAAGAAATGATTTTTGGAATTATCAATAAGATTCTATTGAGAATCATTTTAGCCACTATTTTATAGACCAAATTACATAAGCTAATTGGTCTATAATTAGAAGGTGAAATCAGATTCTTTACCTTAGGAATCAACACAATATTAGTGGCTTTCTAATTTTCATTCATTTTACCATGCTTGAAGAAATGATTAACAGCTTCCCAAACATCAATTTTGATAATATTCCAATAATGCCTAAAAAAGGAATAAGACATACCATCCTTTCCAAGAGCAATGTTCCTCCCTAGTTTTTTGATCACTTCTTCTAATTCTTCAAACGAAAAATCCTTGCTAAGAACTTCTCTATCTTCATCATTCAACGATGCAATGGAATAAGGCCAATTGTCTATAACACAATTCCTCCCCACCCATTTGTTGCTGAAATACCGAAAGATCACATCCTCTATCTGTTTTTGGTCTTCAGCCATTGCTCCTTGCTCATCCTTGATTTTATGAATAAAGTTTGTATTCATCCTCCCACTAGCATATGATTGAAAGAACATAGAATTTGTGTCTCCATCCACCAACCACTTGACTTTTGCTCTTTGCTTCCACCATGAATCAAGTCTAGACATTACAGAATTTAACTCTTCCATCTTTGCCTTGAGTAACCAATGAACTTCTTCTTTGTTATTTCCTCTTTCAGATTCAGATTCCTGTAGTTTCAAAACTTCAGCTTTCAGATCTTCCTTGGCTAGATTTAGAGCCTTGAACTTATTTTTACTCCAGTAATGTAAGTTCTTTAACATCCTTTTAAGTTTTTGATTTGAAACATGAGGAGGATCAACCAATGTTTTCTTCTTCCAAGAATTCTTTACAACACCAACTGAAGACGGTAAAGAGGTCCATACTTCTTCGAACTTCAATACTTTTCTGCTAGGAGAAATGAATTTTAACAGATTTAGTAATATCGGACAGTGGTCCGAAGCCATCCTTGCCAAATGCCTCACCATTAGTCTATGAGAAGAGTTCAATGCCGCTAAATTGACCAGACATTTATCCAGCTTTTCAAGAATTTTCTCTGCACCTTTTTTATTATTGCTCCAAGTAAACTTTGGACCAACTTCAGCCACCTCGTGCAAATTGTTGTATATAATAATAGACTTCATTTCCTTCGTTCCCATGCCAAAAACAAAGTCTCTCCCTCCTTTCTTCTCTTCCTTAGACAGTAGACAGTTGAAATCTCCCCCTAAAATGATTGGGAAATCATTAGTCAAATGATGCTCCAATCTCTCCCATAACCTCCTCCTCTTGTAAATATCCTTATTTCCATAAATTGTAGCAATTCTCCAGGTGCCCCTATTGAATACATTAAGATTTCCAATAAGAAACTGGTTTGAAGATTCCAGCATATTAAAAGTGGCCATATCCTTTTTCCAAATAACAAGAATTCCTCCAGAGAGTCCTTCCGAAGGAACTTGACAGAAGTCCCAACCTTCGCCAACTAAGGAACTTACAATTTTTCCATCCACAACAGTGAGCTTAGTCTCAACTAAGCCAAGAAAGAAAACTCCAAATTCTTTAATGAAATCTTTTGCATAAAGAGAAGCTTTTACCTTCCTAGCTCCTCTACAGTTCCAAAAACCAATGGACGACATTAAAGATTTAAGGGGAAGAGGTTCCCCGCCCTTGATTTTACCTCACCTTCCAATTTCCGGCTCCTTGTATTCAGTTTGATAGGTCCTAAGCCTTTTAACTGCTTAGTCCCCTTCTTCCTTGTCTTGCTTGATTCTTCTTCTGATAAGTTGAAATTATCCTCTATAAGATCTCTACTTGTACCTTCTTCATTAACTCCTTTAGAAGTAATCTCTGAGTTAACAATCACTTCAGTTACTTTATCTGCATCTTCAAGAATTTCACCCTCTTCCTCTAAGTTGATCAATGCATCAAATTGATTAGAATTATAGATTTTTCCAATAGCTAATGAACAGCTATTAAAACTTTTTCCTTTTTCCGGAATTTCCTTTTCTTCATCTTGATTGCTGGATACCAGCAGCTCCTCTTTTGAATTTGTTATTTCCTCTTCAAGATTTCTTTGGTTCCCGGCAAAGGAACATCTGAATTGACTTCACCATTAGCTTCTAGGACTTTCTTTTCTGGAACTTTCTGCCTAGTTATGTTGCTTTGCAATTTGTAATTTCTACCTCTCTTATTTCCATAGTTAACATGCACCCATGGGCCATAGATTTACTAAAAATCTGTCCAGGTACCTCCTTGCTCACCTGGCAGAATTTCTCCAAGTGTCCAATCTTCCCACATTTGAAGCAAATGATTGGTATTTTTTCATAACATACTTTTTGATAGAATTTCCCAAGTGCTCCTTCTACCCAAACTCCTAGAGGTAGTTTGCCTTCAAGACTAATTCTAACACAAAGTCTTGCATATTCACGCCTCCCCCATTGAAACATATTCTCATAGATCAAAAAAGGTACTCTAACCTTCGAAGCTATCCTGCAAACATTAATCCTATCCCAACATTGCAAAGGGAGGTTTGGAAGTCTAATCCAAACGGGAGCCGTAATCCCCTTTAGTGAGGAAGGATTACATTCCGGTGACCATTTGTCCAAACAAATAATACAACCGTTCACAAACCAGGGGCCATTGTTTAAAATAGATTCCATAGCTTCTAGTTCTTCAAATGCACAAAGAACCCATCCACCTCCTAGTAGAGTCATATGGAATCTACCAAATATGTTCCATTGTTTCTTTAGTTTCGCACCAATAACATGATAAGGAACCATTTCGCCAAACACCTTGACGACCAAAGCCTTCTTCAGTCTACCAAAATTCTCCAACTCATTTTGTTGATGAAGTTTAACGGCACCGTCTTCAGCAAATTCATTCCCATAATCAAAATCAACAATTTTGAAATTAGGATTGGATTTCCATACATTTACCATAGTTTTGATCGATAGAGGGGGATATGCAGCATCCAGATTTTCTTTATCAATACAATTTCCCAACATTGCCGATTCACATTCCCTGACCCTCTCCAGATCTTCATTCTTCTTGTGTTCTTCATCAACTTCTCCCCCTTTATTGGGAATAACAAAAGTTAAATCAATTTTTTTAATCAGAGGAGCACTAATCATTGCCATGACCATCTTCATTCCAGAAGTTCTTCCATCACCCATTAAACATTCATTTTCCAGATCTCCCCTATCTTCACCGGTAGCAGCAATCTCATAACAATAAGATTTCTTCTGAGAAATGTTTTTATCATCGATCACAATACCTTTCCCTTTGCCAACACATTCAGAAATTATTTTTGGAGCTTGATAACCGCCTTCATTGATCACTAGAGGTTTAGCAGATTTAAACCTCAAATTAGCCACTTTATTGAACAACTTATTAGCATCTCCAAAAGCTGGAGGTGAAACACCATTTTTATTTCGAGACAATAATTTGATCGAAGACGTAGCTGAGAAGCGACTATCACCGGTGCCGGAAGAAGTACGGCGACCTTCCGTCGCCATTAGTGGCGGACAAAAATTGCGGGAAACCAAAATTTCAAAATCCCGTTGAAAACTCTATCTCACGCGAAAAGTGGAGCTTCTCTCTCTTCCAAAAAATACCAATTTTATTAGATTTTATTCCTGGATGTTCTACTATTTCATATATTTGGCTACTTCTACACTGCACAGATTCTTTACTATTATGAATTGACTAATGACATCCATAATATATTTTTTTTGTGTTTCGAGTTTAATTGTAGGATTTAGTGACTTTTTGGGCTTTTTAGCTCCTTATATGAGGTTCTTATTAATTTAAGGTCTGCAAAAGGGCCAGGACTTTGAACGGTGAGGTGGATTGATCTTCAGTTCTCCTTTTGATTTTTTTTATATTTATTTTATTCATTAATAGTTAGGAGCTTGAGATGGATTATGGATAGTAAGTGATCTTCTAGCTATTGTAAATATTATTTTAGTGAATAAATAGTGAAATATATTGATGTATAAAATTTTAGTTATTTTTACTAGATTAATTTATATTGATAATTTATAGATGATCTGATAAATAATTGAAAAATAACTAAAATATATAATTCTTCTAAATTTGTTATAGGGCATGATTGAGCCATACTTTATTTCATTACATATTTGCAATAAAAGCATTTAAGCATGGGTACAACTAATTCCCTTTCATTCACGTGAGGATGAGATACTTGGTTAGTAAGGTGAGGGATTGGATGGACAAGATCAACTTTGTGAAGTAAAAAATATCATGAATAATTCTAACCAAGCCTTTCATGCCCCACGATTAAATGGAAGAATGAAATCCTAATCCTAGTTATCTTATCCTCAGTATATGACTGACTAGAGCCAACTGAATATCCCAAAAGGAAATGAACAATATAAATAGATATTCATAATTTATTTCACATATTTATTTCAAAAGAATTCTATATAAATAATCCAACAAAATACTTTGTATATCAATACGTAAGTGATTGGACTAAGAAAATACCGTTTAGTTGAACTACCTTCTGAACGACTTTACCTTAAAAACTTCTGCTTAGTTGGACTTTTCACTTTTCTCTAAATAAGATATATTTTATAGAGTAAGAAATAACTTGATTAGTAGGTTGTTTAAATCCTATTAAGGAAATTAATGTCCACATTTGTAGTCATATAAATAAAAGTTTCCCAAATTATTCATATAACATTTATAAATGTATAGAGAATAACTTTATCATTCATGAAACATTAAAATTGGGTTTTCTTATACTTATGTGTTTATATTTATTGAAAGGGTGAAATGCATTTCTTAAATTTTGTTATGTGTCAGAAACATAAGAGCGAACAATTTAGGCATCACTTGAACTTGCTTGTTAACATCAGAAATATTAACTTTACCTACAACAAAACTTAACTTTGAACATAAGTGTTAATATAAATTACTTAATGAATTTGTAATGTAGTATATGAAAAATATGATATGCACATGTCCTATTACTTAATTATAACTCTATTTTCACTTATGCCTCCCTTGGTCAATCCACAATGGTAAAAGATAGATGGAGTATACAAAGCCTGATTCTCCTTAAAACTCCACCTTCACTTAAAACTCTCTTGATCATCTCGCCTTTGCATGAGGCAGATGGAGGAACAAAGACAAAAAAGAATAGGGTAGAACAAAAATAAAGAGATGTAAGGGCCTTTATAACATTACCTGTAATGCACTTGAACATCTCTCATATAAAAACTTCCATTCTATGAGCATGATATGCATGTGCAAACATTAAGATAGCTAACATATATATACAACATTTATTATGAACATGAATAAGCATGAATTAACACATGCATGATATTTTAAGAAGTAACTCATGTGAAATCTACTTACATACTTAACATTTTCCATTTTTTAAAATTCTTCATAAGGGATATTTAAAATATTATTTTAAAGAATTTTGTTAATTGTATTCAATGCTTGAAATGCCACATACATCATAAAATGCCCATTTATATAGAAACAATTAAATAGTAAAAATTAACTCTCTTCATGTTAAAAGGTTCAAAATGGAGTATTTTATAATATACAAAAAATCATATGGTGGAAAGTTTCTTAAACCTAAGAAAATAACATTTTATTCCAAATTTACTCATAAAAATATCTAAATGGAAATAAAAAAATAGGGTTTTGGGAGCCTCTCTTGAGCAATACATTTTCCTTAACATGCCCAGTTGATTAAATTTTGTACTATGGCATTTGAAACCTAGCCTTTTTTTTCTTTCTCCTCTCATTCTTTTCTTTTCCTTCTCTAACAATTGAATATGTGATAAGGGTTTTAGAAAATGATTTTAGATATTTAAATATATAAATGTCATTTGTGATGTAGCATTACAATACTCCCTCGAATATTCTAAATACTTCTAACTAAGGAGCACAGTGTCGCAATACCCTCACCAATGCCATAAGACTCCTAATAACATTACCCCAAGATAGAGAGGATAGAACTATAGCATAACCATGTATAGTGTCATTATGCTCCCTTGCTAAATTTTTCTTAAAATAATAGGGAAACACCATATTGATGCCATGAACAGCATCACAATGCTCTAAAGAGGCTTTTCCCCTTGAATTTTCTACTATTTTTTAAAATAATATCAAACTCTTCTAAAATTCAATAAGCATTTAATAATTTGAAATCTCACAGACACTAAATATATGTAAGGGCACACAGGAATTCTTATTAAGTTTGAAGTGAGTTGACTTGTTTCTGTAGCAACAAATATTATGAAGCCGATCCACTTTGTCAATGAGAATATTGTCTAAAGATATTTGAGTTGGATGGGAAGAATTATAAGGCCACCATAGCTTGAAAGGATGGTTTTGTAGGTTTCCATCCAAGATACGTTGTCAACCTTGTGGGAGAACCCATATAATGTGACACAACTTCTTTCTCTTTTTACTTACCATTTTTTATGATAGTTCTCATATGAATATCCTTCAAGAAGGATAAAAATATACAACAACCTCACAAACCCTAAGGTTCTCAAATAATTATGCCTCAAATAACCCAATGGTGAGGGAGAGAAGAGGAAGAAGAAGAAGAGGGCTATTGTGTCCATATCCACATTATGCTAATTAGCCA